ATAATGATCAGTTACATGCCTGGACTCTCACTACTTGCATGGTTCCAGCAGGTGTTCAATAAAATTTCAGTGAATTGAGCAGTTAAATAAATTAAGAAATAGGGAGATGAATCAAAGTGCCCTGTAAAATATAAAATGCTTCACAAACATAAGGTAATAGGAGTATATAAAAGCTAACACCACAGACCTTGTACTATCTGCCCAAAAAATCTTCTAAGGACAAAAAGTTGTAATCGTTTGAAGAGCAAATAAAAATTGCAGTTATATATGTGGTCAGAAAATCAGCTATACAGATCATTCATTTTCAAATACATTTGGGAAGAAATAAAACAAAGGCAGAAAAATTTTACATGGCCAAAGTAAATTGTATTGCTAACTTAGATAGCCACAGATGGGGGCAGGGGTGGAGAAAAGAGAAATTCAAAACCCAACAGAGACCCCACAATAGCTAGGGTTTGAAATCTCTGCATGTTATCACAATAGCAGCCTTCTGAAGTCAGCAACAAGATAGAGAAAGATTGAACCAATATTCTATGTTACAGGACAGAGCAGATAGTCAATAAACCAAATAAAGTCAGTGTTGCGTGGACTGTGCTGTCTAAGCTGCTTGGTCTTAAGTGCTGACATTTAAGAGATGTAGGCAATGAGAATTGAAACAAACATTTAAGTTCAAGACCCAGTTTACTGACACTGAGACTATTACTGTATCTCTTTGGGCCTCACTTTACTTATCTGTAACATTAAAAGGTTTGATTACATGATGTCTCACGATTCTTTTTTTATTTAGAGATGAGGTTTTGCTCTGTTGCTCAGGCTGGAGTGCAGTGGCACAATCATAATTTACAGCAGCCTCTAACTCCTGGGCTCAGTCAATCCTTCCACTTCAGCCTCCAGAGTAGCTGGGACTACAGGCATGGGCAACCGTGCCTGGCTAATTTACGTATATATATATAATGAAATATATGACATAATTCATATCTTCTCTATTGAATATACATATATATTTTTGATATATATATATATTTGATAGAGATGGGATTTCACTGTGTTGTCTAGGCTGCATCTCCTGTGATTATGGCATATGATGCTGATACCAAAAGTGGGGTTGGAAGTGGTGAAGTAAAAGCAGGAGTAACCCTATGGAATTTAGTATAACACATTGTAATAAAACACCTGGAAAATACCTAAAGAAATACAAACTAAAAGAACATTTCACAGGAGGAAGAAATTATAACCAGAGAATATAGTTTTCAATTAGTCTTATTTAAATATTAATTTCCTATCACGGAATGAGAGCATCTTGAACCAGTCCGTGGATTCTAGCAAAACGTTTTCTCAAGTGGGCAACGGCCACTAGGGACATGATCAAATTTATACTCCTTCATGAAGATGTAACACAAGAATTTATTGCCAAAAACTGATAAATGATACTAACCTTAGAATATGTAACTGGATATTAGCATACTTTAAAATAATTTCATTCCCTTTATATAGTCTGCATGTGCAAAGGTCTACATTAAGTTCCAAATATTTTTATATTTTAATGCCACAGCTTCTTACATTAGTGTTATAGTGATAAAATATGAAATTATTTATGTTTGAGACATTGCCTTCTAAATAGAAGCCTCCCTTTGCTGTTAAGTGTAAAATGGGAAATCATAAGAAACTAAAGAAGCTAAGTGGGTCTATGCAATAAAGAACTGAGCCAGTTGAAGGATATTCATAGGCAATGTTGGCATAGGACTGGAGAAAGAGATGGGATGGATGTCATATGGGGCAAATACTAGAGAAGGAATTCAGATGGGCAGAAAAGAAGCTGAAGTAATTTTACTTTGTGTTTTGAATGCATTTTATTTTGGTACTTTCTCAAGATAGGTGATGGACTGATTGTCTTTGAATGCTTTTGGACTGATGAACTATTCATCCTTTGAGTGCAAATTTGTGCTGGTACTGGACTAATAGATGTACTTTATATGGGTTACATTGACATAAGGTTTTTAAGAATCTGTACATCTGTACATTTAATCAGATTGCAAAATTATCTTGCAAGAAAGACAGGAAAAAAATGTTTTTCTTTTCCAGAATTGCAAATTGAGACTTGTGGAGGTTGAAGTGATTTTCCCAAGATAACACAGTGGGGATTCAAAGCTGTATCAGCTAGTATTTTTTTCATTACTCCATGGGGCCTCTCTAAGATCAAAAATGCTTGGATATGCCCAAGAGCTACCGAATCTTTTTTCTTTCCTCCTCTTCCCTTTTCTTCAAGGATAAGGAATTCGAAGGTAACACCTCTACAGAATTGTTCATTACAATTTTCTTCAACGATATAAGTGTTTCTTCTTATCCAATATGGTAGCCACAAGCCAGGTGTGGCTACTGAGCTCTTGAAACGTGCCTGGTGTGACTGAAGGATTACATTTTAAATTTAATTTTAATTAATTTTAATTTCAAAAGCCACACTGGCTAGTGGACACATTGGACAGCACAATTCTAGAAGCTATATGTGAAAGATTAACAAATGCCCTTGATACTTCAAACTAAAATAGTATTTGGGGGTCAATTGCACTTTACCTTTAGTTTTCTAGGTGTTGGTATATCTAGAAGTCCAAACCTTTCACACACAAGCCACCATTTATGGTCAGTGCCAGCTGTTGGGCTTAACCTATTTATGCATGAGGTGGTAATTTCTTAAATTTTTGTAATCAGACCTTGGTGATGACCTTGAGCAGTAGGATATAACTTCCACAAGCCTAGTGTTCCACTAATGGAAGAGTAGACATAAATAGGTCAAGATAATTTTCTTGACTTTCAGTCTCTTTACCTAATCACTGATTATTGATTTTTTTTTTTTTACAAATAATTAAATAACTAAATTCCTCTGTAGGACCATTTATCTGATTTCTCCAGAAGTTGTGTCTCTTTACTATTTTTACGTTTTTTATTGTTATTGTTCTCTCTGCTATGTTCATAGTATATTAAGTAATGTACACCTGCATCTTCTCTAATATATAATATATGTAAACTCCAAAGCATTGATGACCAATTTGAATTTTCAGAAGCTGTGTATCTGTTTTCTCAAATGGGCACAAGAATAAGCCAGAAATATAAAATAGAATGAAAGTTTCATGAAAGAAAGGTATTTAGCCAACATTTCCCCTTACCACTAAAGAATTCATATACCACACATTTCTCACTACCTTTAACTCTTAGTTCTGTTAAGAAGTTTTCCCACACTCTAGTTCCAGAAAGTTTTCTCTATTATTTGGTGCTTTTGGTTCACTGAACAATTCAGGGCTTGTAATTTTTTTTACAGAATTATCAATTGTTTTGAATCAAAATAGAAGATGAACGCTGAAGGGTATAAGAATAACACTACCATGTAAGAATTAAGTAGTACTGAAGGGACACAAACTAAGGATATGCCTGCAAGATTTATATAACTGTCAATCAGTTGCTATTGGAAGCCACGGCTACCAAAAAAGCAAGTTGAAGCAGCATCATTTTATCCTACAAGGAAGTCGTCTTTGTGTTCTTTACGCATTTGTGGAATACCAGTTGCACCAGTCATATTGGCAAGTCATTTGGTTATTGCTGTCTGACCAAACCTATTCCACAAGAATAAGCGGGGATACTTCAACTAAACCAAACAGCTGCTGCAAAGATTGTCATCACAATCCTTCAGTCACCTTACTTTTCAATTTTCTTTTTGCAATAATTAACTAAGTTGGTTAGGAAAAAGTTACCACCTTCATCAAATACTTAAAATTGTAAAGCAATATATATGGAATAGAAAATGCCATTGGTTCAGGTCAGACACTTGTGATGATAAAGTATGGTACTCTGTGAGTGGACTAATGTCCAAGGCAGATGTGTACAGATGCTAAGCTGCTAGGAAAATGCTGTTTATGAAACATCTCTGCTTCTTGAGACCTGAATCTGCAAATGTTGAACACTGTACCTTCAAAGGCCAACAGTTTCTCGGCACAGAGTGTACACGTTTCATTGGTTGGGATGTTGGTGAAGCTGTACACTCAGTACCTGAATTTGGACTTTAGGAGCTCAGTATATATATTAGCCACTTTCCATCTCAAGGGATGCCTTTCCTTTCTTCATTCATGGGAATCTTCAAAGTCAGGATTGTGATTCCAGGGCAATAGATAGCTCCATTTAAGGAGATTTCTGCATCCACTTTAGCCAGAGAGGGAAGGGGTTGACATGAATGAAAAAGTATATCAAATAGTCAAGAACATGATGAGTGTGGCAATGACTGAACCACTTTTGCTAAATGACAGAAAAATATTCTAATATTAAGGATTATTTTACAACTCTATGGAAGTAATGCAGCGATGCATCTTGCATCTGTTTTGTCTTGATGGCAAAATGCACTCTTAGAGTCACAAGATCCCGCCTTGTGTTAGTTATAAACAAAAATATATTTATATATATATATATTTATGTAACTACTATGTGCTTTAAAGAAAATTACTGTATGATTCAGCAGGGTTTTTCATTCTTTTTATCGCCATGCTGACGTGAATGGCTTCTGAGACAGGAATCGGCAATGAAATGGGTCTTTAGTACAGAAACCGCATAAAATGAAAAATAACCATAAGTTTAAAATCCCTTAACATTTTTGTTTCAAAAATGATTAAGGAACTCTTCATATTGTTTCCTTGTGTTTCCGTCAGCCCAGAGCAACTGTGGTTTCATGGGACTTCTCAGTTCGGGAATGGAGGCAAGGCTTCCATAAAGCATAAATCAGATGTTTTTACTGAGGCAGGAGTACAGAAAGCCCCGTTTCCCATTCCCTCTTCCCAAATCCTTAGCTAAAAGTTTGGAAATTTTGTCACAGCTCATAAAAAGGTCATTCATTACCAAGAAAGAGACAGACACAGTCTGAACCTCCTGTATCAATAAAAGGATTCATCCTGTAAAGTCATGAACTTGTTCGTACAGATAGATCTAGACCAGAAAAACGACATCCTTTTGCCACACATTTGTTTTGAAAATATAGAAAATCTCTTATTTGTGTTTGTTTTCACTCCTGCACGAGCTGTTTTTCTTAGCAATCTTCAAACATTCATCACTGCTCTTTTGTGTGAAAAGGTTCAGGCTTTGGAAAACAGTTATCTTTGAGACATCAGAGAACATCTGAATCAAAAGTGTCGATCCCTCATGAACTAAAGCTTTATTATGATTTTTTTCCTGATCCCTTTGCAACCCTGCACCTAAGCCAAAAGCATTATAATCTTGTCATACTTCAGGTAAGTCCACAGATGTTCTGAGTGAACTATAGATGACATTCCACTAGGGAATTCTATGTTCAGTGTAAATGGTATCTTGTATAAGTTTTAGTTTTTTGTTTACCCTTCCTGGGCTGGGCTTGTCCAGAAATCTTGTCTTCTTCAGGCTACAGCAGCTTAGAGCTTGTTTGTGTATGTGTGTTTGTTTGTTTGTCTTAAAGGTATAGGCAAAATATTAGTCTTAACACCTGTAAACCAGTACTGGTGCTGTTCTGTCCTAGAAATTTTAGCACTGCTCTGATACAATAAAACCTTCTTTCTCTCCAACTGGTTCAACTTCAGCATAGGCAGGATGTCCAGAACCTCTTCTAAACTTCATTGCAGGCCATCTGCTTGGGCGTCTCTAAAACAGAAAATACAAAAATAAAAAATGTATATTAGAGTAAGATTCTATCACCAGAAAAATATATTTGACAGCTATTTTAGATTAAATGTTGAATTAATTAACATGTTACATCATCTCTTATTACAGCTATAGTCAGAATTAAGTGTTCCCCTTATCAACCCTCCAAGCCCTGTGCTTGCATTCCAGGATGGTGCTATCTACCCCATCACGGGATAGACCATTTGTCATACCTGCCCTCAAAGGATTCAGAGCTTCTCCCAACCAAGGTTTAATGCCTTATGCATATGCTTGAAAAATGCCCAAATGTAACTGGCAAAAATAAACTGTAATAAAAAATATTTTAAAATATATGGCCACAGACACTCTCTCTTCCCCACTAGCCAATACTGATATCACTTTATTTTGTTCATTAATTCACTCAAAAACTAAGGTCATAAAACTCTGCTCTGTTCCTAGAAGTCTGTTTCCAATAAGGCACCAGACTTCCTAGCAAATGAGCTAAAAGAAATATTTACTATCTTAAGAAATTATTTATTTAGCTAAGCATACCCATATATGAATTTTGTGCTTGAAAATGAAAGCTGTTATAGCCTAAAAATGGAATCTATTACTAGAGGGTGTGGCCAATCTTGAGCTTACGAAGCAAACATTACACAGTAGATACTAGTCCTAAAATACATGTTATTTGTATTGACAAAAAGAGAGCATTTCTCTTCAGCACTCTGTCCATCAACAAACTTTCTGTGATTTACAAATAGATGTGCTGAGTTATAGCAGCAAAAGGCACTAAAATGCATTTCACAGCCATAATGACACTAGAAACCATTACTTTATTTAATAAAGTGCCTGCAATTTTGGGGTAAATAAGACAATAAATATCAAAGGAAGTTTATTTCTATCTAAACAATTCTAATGCACAAAAGGGCTAAATATCAGTGTACACATACTGGCATTTGGTATCTTTCTAGATTTTCCAATCACATGCCAATGTCAATGATTAATGGCTGTGAACGTTTTTCACATCAGGTAGGGATGAGTATTAAGCTCTACATTCTAGAAAAAATACCAATCAAGGTAATTACATTCCACCTACTAATAATCTTAAGTGCTGTCTCGATAACATTATGTGGTCAGAATGCCCTAAGTTTGCTGACTAATTCCCATTAAGTGAAACTGAATTATCCCTGTCTTCCAAAAGAAAAATTTAAAACTAAAGAGAGGGCCACATAACAAAACAGGGTGTCTGTGGTGGGGATGCAATCATCAACAATGGAAACATACTAAGCACCTCTAGGGAGGTGGGTACCCTAACGCATGGTTATACCTGTCTGGAGGGGAAAGATGACATGTTGCATTACTCATTACTTACAGCCCCCACTCTAGTTTTAGTAACTTCACAGATGAGTTTCTCCAAAGCCATAGCTTCCCTCATCAAGCAGCACCACTGAGATTTTGCTCTGAATCTCCACCATTCCAAAGCCACTTGGTAGCAAGAATAACCCTGCCACCTAGCAGGAGTTTACAGCCACATAAAGATATTGTGTTATGCTGTTCACAGTAGCCAAGATTTGGAAGCAACTGAAGTGTCCATCAACAGATGAATGGATGAAGAAAACGTCGTATATATACACAATGATGTACTATTCAGCCATAAAAATAATAAGATCCTGTCATTTGCAACAACATGGATGGACTGGAGATCATTATGTTAAGTGAAATAAGCTAGGCACAGAAAGATAAACACCACACGTTCTCACTTACTTGTAAGATCTAAGAACAAAACAAACTTATGGAGACAGAGTAGAAAGATGGTTATTAGAAGCCAGGAAGGATAGTGGTGGGGTTGGGATGAGGCGGGGATGGCTAATGAGTCCCCCCTCCCAATAGAAAAATGAATAAGACTTAGTATTTTATAGCACAACAGGGTGACTATAGTCAATAATAATTTAATTATACACTTAAAAATAATTAAAAGAATATAGTTGGATTGTTTGTAACACAAAGGATAAATGCTTGAAGAAATGGATATCTCATTTTCCATGATGTGATTATGATACATTGCATGTCTGTATCCAATATCTCACATCCTCTATAAATATATATGCCTACTATGTACCCACAAAAATTAAACATTAGAGATGAGAAAAAAGAAATGGTGCTCTATGTGGCTCTTCATTAAAAAGGAGTGCAGATGACGGGTATGTTGATGATGATGCTCACGGAAGTTACATTTTAGGAGGCTTTTATTTCATATCTCATGCTTTGTACTAGGTGATTTCCATACAGGATCTCATTTAATATCCAACATTGTCCTTTACATTTTGCACAAACCTGCAAAGCTAGCAAATGGCAGGGCCAACATATAAAATAAAAATCTACCTACTTCCAAGGTTAATTTTTCCCACATGGAAATTATTTCTTAAAATTCAATGATTTGTGCATAACTTGGCCAACAACTGGGAACGTGGCTCTAGGTTTATTTCAATCTTAACAATATACCAACAACTTCAGTATTCTGTTCATAAGTCAGAGCTACTAAATTAATAACTCTTTGTTAGGTGAAAAGATTGCAGAATTATTGATAGTGTGTATCATGTGCTTTCTGAGTGTATCACAAAAGTCCTCAAAATAGAAAATACAAATGGTTGTGTGTGAAACTTCGTGTGTCACAGCATGATCATATTTTCCAAACTAATTATTTATGTTTAAGGATTTTTTAGATTTGTAATTTTTATTTTATTAATTATAGAAAAAGTGAGTACAAAACAATATAGAAATTGCTCAATGAGAGTTAAAATCACTAGAGATCCCACCCAAAACACACAATTGGTTAAACCAGTGGTCCCAACCTTTTTGGCACCAGGGATTGGTTTTTATGGAAGACAATTTTTTCATGGGCTGGTTTGGGGGTAGGGGATAGAGGGATGGTTTTGGGATGAAATTGTTCCACCTCAGATCATCAGGCATTAGATTCTCGTAAAGAACACAACCTAGAGCCCTCCCATGTGCAGTTCACAGTAGGGTTCACACTCCTAGGCAGAGCTCAGGTGGTAATTCTCACTTGCCTGCCACTCATCTCCTACTGGGTAGCCCCTTTCCTAATGGGCCACTGACAGGTAGAGGTCCACAGCCTGGGGGTTGGGAACCCCTGAGTTAAACTATCAGTGTATGTCACTCATCCAGTTTCATGACTAAAGATGCACAAAATAGCTGTCATCCAGCTACAAAATTATTCAAGACTGCTCTCTTATTCAGGAAAAACTGAAAATTCATAAATAATTTTTCACTAGATTTAGAAAAGCATTTTCATAATAGTATCTTAAAATTTACAATGAAATCTAACAAATGTCATGTAACCAGGGTTTTAAACATTTGATTTCATTTCATATTCTTTTATAATCCCTTCACATCTTGGTCTTCACCACAACAATGCTGAGCAAAGAGTAATAACTTCACCAAAATTTTCCTTTCTCTTTAGAATACTTTCACAATGCAATAGGAGATGTCATCTCACATCACAAAACAATTATGTGATTGTGAATAAATGACTTAATCTCTCTGGGCCTTTGTTTCTTCATCTGTGAAATAATAGCTAATTTGTCCTCTAATGTCCTAGGATCCTTATATTTGCTTGCCTGAGATAATGCCTTTAAATTGGAGAAAAGAAGGAAGGGGAGCATCACACACAGGGACATGTCAGGGATGTGGGGGCTAGGGGAGGCATAGCAGGAGGTGGGAGGATTGGGGAGGGATAATATTAGTAGAAATATCTAATGTAGATGATTGGGGATGGATGCAGCAAACCTCCAAGGCATGTGTATACCTATGTAACAAACCTGTATGTTCTGCATATGTACCCTAGAACTTAAAGTATAATAAATAAATAGATCAATAAATTAAATTAAATAAAAAAGACCATCATTTTTAAAAAGCACCTCTTGTTCAGGTTTTTCTGATCCTTGTCTTCTCTGCCTCCTTCTGCTAACTTTTAGAATTCCTGTATTTAAGGAAAATCTGTATAAATCAGCCCTAACTGAACTTGATTTTCGATGTCAATCTGCATGTGTTCAGATTATTCCTTATAAATGAAAAGAATGAGGCAGTTATTTAACAGAATAACTATTTCATTAGCATACACAAGTCCTTAACACTGATGCTTTAATAGGAGCCATCTACCCAGAGAACTGGGAGGGGCTTGGATGGAAGGATCTGAAAACCCGAGCCTCATGTCCAGCCCTGCCACAAACTTGCAAGCATGATTAAACACAGTCAGGGATTTCAGAGAAGGGATATGTTGTTTTATCTTGAAGCCTGGACAGTTCCAAATCTGTGTTGTTTTTAGAATGGCTAATTCAAATTGTTACAGAAACTCATTTTGGCCACAGGGTCACTTGCTAACGGGGCAGGATGTATGCTGAAAATCTAAGAATTCAAACCAGGCTGTAATGTTAATTCACTACAGAGTTTCAGGATATAATGTCTTAAAACATTACAGGGTGCAATGTGTGGGTGATCTCTAATTTCACTTCTGAGAATTACTTATGTGATTAATCACTTTCAGAAGAAAATGTTCTCAGCAATAACGTTGGCACTGGGGTTAGCTGCGCAGGCAGGAATTCTCCCTAATTCTTTTTTCAATACTACTAATTGAACAGTCATCCAGGTCTGTCTCAATGGTCTATGGCAAGATAATTAGCTAAAATATCCACAAACAAACCTGGCGGGCACCCTCAGTCAGCAGTGTACACAAAACTGCAGCTGGAGACCTTTCTTCCAGTTCAGAGAGCTACACAGAGAGTGTTTTGTGTTGGGTTAGATGAGCACTTGAAAGGAAGTTACAGGCAGGAGTTTGAAAGAAAAGGGACTGATTTTGCAATGAAGGCCCAGATAGAAAACACCTGTGGTACATTATGGCCCTTGTCAAGCAGTCAATTAAAAATTTCTGCCATTTTGGAGCTGTCTTCCTCCACAGTGAGGAAATAGAAAGAGGCTGGGAT